GCCATCCACCCACTAACCACCGTGCCTTATCACAAGTCACACAATTGGAACCCCACTAAAATTTTGAAAAAAAAAAATTATCAATCATTTTACACATTGCATGCCGTGGTCTAAAATTTATCAGTCATATTGTTACACGCCATTTTCAAAAAATATTGCATGCTATGTTTAAAAAATGTTACACGTCATGTTCAAAACTGTTACATGCAAGTTCAAAAAATACTACACGCCATGTTCAAATATGTTACACGCTAGTTCAAAAATTGTTACATGCCATGTTCAATAAAAATGTTACATGCCATGTGCTAACACATGTTATTTCAGTATATTTTTTATACGCCATGTGCTAACACATGTTATTTCAATATAGTTTTTACATGCCATGTGCATTATAGATGCATGGCATGTAACAACTTTGGGCAATGTTTCTAATCCATGTTTTAATTTACACAAAAAAGTTTCAAAAATTAATGTGTTGTAGTAATAAACCTAATAACATACCTTAGTGTCATCTCTGCTATAAGGTCTGTTTATCGACGGCAATATGACCAGATGCCGAGAGATAGATCACAACACGATGATGATGGTGCTCAATAGAGAATTAACAGAGCTGATACAGTTCAGAGAGCTGAAAGAAAAAGATGAACGAGCTGAAATAGTTGAGCATTTATTTCTATTTCTCTATGGTAGGAGGGAGATATTGAGAGCTTAATTTGCCAAGATGTTTTTAAAGGTATTTTGATCTTCTAATGCTTATTTTTAGATAAAAATAAATAACTTTATATGAATAGTTATTTCTGAAATTACCTTACGAGAAAGGTTATTTTTCACAATTTTCTCAAGAAAATATAAATCACAAATCAAAATAAAAGGAAAAAGAAACAAAGAACAGTGGTTGAACAAATCAAAGACAAAACAAAACAAACAAAGAAAAAAAAAAACACCAAAACAAGCAAGAAAGCTAAAGGGAAAAAAGTAAAAAAATGAAAGAGTTGTAAAAATTGGACAAAAAGATGAAAAAAAGTGAGAAAAGTAAAAGATGAGATAAGACTGAGAAACTCAAAGGAGAAATCAAAAATTAGAATAGAGAAAACAAAAATAGAAAGGATGACAAAACTTAAGAAAGGAAAAAAATGATCAAAATGCTATGTTCATTAAAAAAAACTCTTACAAAACAACTCTCACTCAATTAAAATGTTATATATCAATTAATTGAACTATTAACGTGACGCTCTAATTGAGCCCAGGGGTCCCTTAGAGGAGAACACTAGAAATATAACTATCATTATTATCATTAAACATTAGGGGAGTCAAGCATGGCCCGAGCCCAAGATTATCAAGCCTAGTAAACGCTGAGTCATGAGAAATTCTGAATCACCAATTTAACCTTTATTGGGGTGTTAAATATCCAAAAATGCCACCACGTCCCCACCACCAAAAATAGCACATAAACCCCAGCTGAAGTTTAAACCCGCCGACCCTCCCATTTTCGTCACAACGAAAGAACTTCGCAGTAAATAAGATTTTGTTGGCTTTTCTTAGTTTGTTGTGGTGGTTTTAATGGCTAAAGGAGATGATACAGTGAGAAAAAAGAAAAACAAAGCACTAAGAAAGAAGCTAAACAGGAAAACAGACTCTTCAACTGTATCAGCTCGAATTGCCTCCATTATCGCCTCCAAGAAACGTCGAAAAGCCGGTAAACGCCGCATCTGTCAGGTATTCTTTTTGCCTTAAATTTGCTTTCATTGATTTCTCTTGTTGGTTATTTTTTTTGTGGGTTAAATTTAGTTATTGTTTAGCGTGAAATTTAGGTGATGGGTAGTTGTGAATTTGGCATCGAGTGAAAATTTGGTGATCATATGATATGGCACTGAGTTTGGTTAGTTGAAGATTGGAGAAATTGCTTATGAATAGTGTTTTTTTTTCAATTTAATTGTGTGCTGAAGAAGTGAGACATGAAGAATCATTTATTGGTAGGAATTTATAATGTTTGGTTTTGAGTAGCATTTGGGGAAGTATTTAGAAGTGATGACATGGATTGGTTGCCTATGACGCGTACATAGTGTATCGAGGATAGCCAATGTCTTCGAAGGATTTCGATTAGAATAAAGTACTGTTTAGTATTGTGCGTGGAAGAAGAGTTTTTTATATAAGGAGAAGCATGACGAAAGGGGGAAAATGAGAGTAGGTTGCCGACTTGGTTTGTTTTGATAAATTAGAAAACTCATTGCAAATTTAAGGTGGCTTCAATTTTTTCTCCTATTGTGATGCCTATTTCTCTTCCAGCTTAGTGGACTTTACCTTGTTGCTATGCAGGGGATGTGTTTTAGCCTTCCTACTCCTGATGATCCCTTTAATGACAGACTTGATAAAATGGTTATCAGTAAAAGAGAAACAAAAAAAATCGTGCCTTCAGAACTGGATCAGAAAATGCCAACCAATAAGAAGGACGCTGTTCCCAAAAAAGGATCAGTTCTTGAGCATGATATGAAAGTAGATAGTTTGGTAGCGATGATGGATTTGAAGGATGAACAGAAAAAATTAGTTACATTGATTAATAATGTAGGCCAGACAAGACATATGAATCCAGGAAGAATGCAGATCCAGCTAGGTGGAAAGAAAATTGGTGTCCATGGTCATCAAGAACAAGCCTGTGAAAGTGCACGTTGTCCATCAAAGTATCTTATACTCTGCTTGAAAGCAATAGAAGATGCATTGCATTATGATGGTACCTACAATTGTGAAGAGGGCAAGTCTCTATTTGTCAACACATGGGGTGTTGAATTCTGGAGATGTTATTCAGTTGGAAAGGATATACTTGAGACAAGTGGATCATCTTCCGATGTAGAGCAAATTGCATGGATTGCTTCTACTGCTTCTGATGCTATTTCAAGGAGAGAGAAAGAAGGTCTTTCATTCACCAGCCCTTTCCTTCTATTCCTTGTACCATCCAAAGAGAAAGCTCTTAAGGTTTGTATAACTCTCATAACATTTTCCAGCAAATGTCTATTTGTTGTTTTTTATAGTTTATGATCTGTTTTTCAGCAACTCTTTGTCTGCAATCTTTATCTGATATATTTAGAAGCCTAACATAATTTACTATGTTAGGCCTATTTCACCATTTGTTAAAGATAAATAGAATAAAACCAATTAAATGAAATAAAGAAATGAAAACCTAATTTTAAATGTTACAAGTATATAAGAATATGATCTTATTTAATGGAGTTTCTTTTTCTCTAGTTAAATTATTCAAGCCTATCTTTTGTTGTTCATTTGTTTATTTATTTAATAAGTTTTCATTGATTATGCTCAGGTACGTTCACTCTGCAAGCCCTTGAAAGCTGTTGGCATACATACAGTGAGTTTACACCCGGGTGCTTCCATAGACCATCAGATCAGTGGGTAAATATGCTCTAAACCTCTATATCTCGTGCTGGAAAAAATTAATGTGGTATGCTCCAGAAATTTAGGTATGAGTAGTTGATCAATTTGCTATATAGTGCCATTCTATGTTCTTGAGAATAAATTGCTTAGGATGGATGATTGGGCTGCATTTGTATTATGAGGAAGAGAGGACAAGACCATATGCGCTCTCTCTCTCTCTCTCTCTCCCCCCTGATTTACATTTGTGAGTATGGCTTTTGTGTATGGGCTTGCATGCTTATGCTCACTCATCATAATTTCTAGATTTGTGACTTTATGACTTGTGTGTGCAGTATGCACTCAGTTGTTGACAGTATACTTGCTATTTTGGTTTACCCATTTAAGTGACTTGGGGTTATGATACGTCATCCCTCGTTTTTCTTTTTTCTTTTTCCCTCTCAAATTCAGTTGTTTTTTCTGTAGTCTGCAGAGTTGTGAACCTGAGTTTCTCGTGTCAACACCTGAGAGACTTTTGGAGCTAGCTTCCTTGAAGGCCATAGATATATCTGGGGTCTCCATGCTGGTAAACTGTCTATATAATTTGAAGTTTCTCTTGTTGCACATTATCTGCTACTTTATTTCAATGGTCAACCTGTAATTGTATTTTTTTTTTTTGAAAATTGTAATGGTATTTATTTAAACAAGTTTCTTAAACAGGCTGGCCAATATTTATAGTTATTGACTTTTTTTGTAACTAGGTTTCATCTTGTTTACCTTTTTCTTGAATTTCTCCTGTTATTATTTTCTTAGTGACATTTCTTCCGCTCTGGTAGATATTTAGATGTTCAAATGATGTTATTGTTGTGTATGAGGAATAGTGTAATTCAAGTTCATTCTAATTATTCTACACATTGCATATGGGAAGTTTAATGTTGATATATATCATTTGAAAAGTTTTCCATTTTGAAATGTTGTCAAGTCTCACACATGGGTGCGTAATTCATTATCTACTTTTCACCCACCCCTGTCTGCTACCTTTCTCCCTCTACATGAGATCTATGTATATGTTTGTTGGTATTTATGTTATGGAATAAATTTGCTACTATCAATCTACCTTAATGGCCTTAAACATCAAAAGCTCATTTCGTTAAAATCATTAAATATTTAGTGTCTAACAATTAAATTCTTGAATAGGTTATTGATGGAATGGAGTCTCTTTCTAGAGCTGGTTATCTCAATACCATAAAGTCTATCAGGCAGGCTATTTCAGCAAACCCCCATACTTTGGTGTTCAACGATTCCTTCAGTAATGCTTCTATTCCTGCTGTGCAAAATCTACTGACGGGATTAGTCTATAGATTATCTCTCAATAATTCTGTTGCTAGTCAAAGTGCTTCCATCATCCAGTCTATATATGTGTGCTCCTCGAAGGAAGAAAAGATGATGAAGGTAGGTTTTTAACATGTTTGAACAATTGCATACTGCCTGAGATAGTATATCGTGTGGCTGAAAATCTTTTATCATTCACTTTGGTATATTTTAGAAAATGACAAGCCGAAATTTATTTGGTCTCTAAACTTTCTTAAAACCAAAGAAAACTTAATCATGCAAATATGTAAGCCCTAACAGAGACTTTTAACTGAATTAAATTGGTTTGACTTTGAATGTAGTTTGGCTCTGTATCTGGGCTTTCTGGAAAAAGAAAAGACCCTGTAATCTAACCCAAATTTCTGCTTTAAATTCTGAAAACCAAGACTTTAGATTTTGCATTTAAATCAATTTATAAAAATTGAAAACCCTCAAATAATTAAATGAAACAGGTAATAATGCACATAATATTCTGATCCAGTTTGGCTATTGGTCTCATATGAAATGGAAACTTATTTTTGTTTTGCTCTATAAACTAAGTTGAACTTCTACAATTATGAATGGAATCAAACTGAACTGAATTAATCTATTTGTTTGATTTTTCTGTTCGAACCTAATAGTGCAACCCCTACTATAGTTCATTGTTGAATGTGACAAACATTAAACTGCTCCTTTAGCATTCTCTTATATGCTTTATCATTAAACTGATGTTTAGTGCTAACGGAAGCTCTTGCTATGTTGGGATTTTAGACCAGTGTTTCCATGGGGTAAAGGGCAAAGTGAGGCATAAGCCACATGAAGTAATATAATGTTTTATTTATGGTTTGCAATTCAAGTTTCAATTTCGGGCTTTGACCTTGGCTCTGGTCATCATAAAGAAACAAAATTTTTTATTGCATTTGAATTCACAAAAATGTCTATAGCTTATATTTAATCCCAAAATGACACAAAACCTGTTCGAACCCAAAACGGTCCGAATGCGAGATGACATGAATCTGAAATGTTCGAACTCGAGACAGCTCAAACCCGAAATGGTCTGAACCTGAGATGACCGGTATTTGCGTTGGTTTGAACCCGAAATGATCTATAATTTGAAATGAACTTGAACACGAAGACAGCTCGACCCAAACCTGCCTGATTTTCACCTCTAAGTAAGAGTTGACCATTCAACATTTTGCTGCAATTAGCTATTCTTTCAAGCAAGACTTTAGAGATACCATTCTTCTCAACGTTGGGAATCATTCTGGATGTGTCTGATCTCGTTGTTAATTTGCTATAGATGCTTTACTTTTGTTTCATGTGCATTTATGACTTTACTTTCATCTTATTTTTTTCTTGGATTGATGTAATGGTTACTATTTGCTCCCTTACTCTTCTACATATCAGATGTAGGACATGTCAGTTTTCTGTCGCTGCACCCCCCACCCCCCCTAAGAACAACAGCAATTTCTGGTTTCTTTTACAGTGAGAAGTGAGGTCAATCATTGTGGAAAGTAGGGATGTGCATGCTGTATGTCTGCTATATTAATTGAACAATGATACTAGTTTCACTGGGCATTGATCTTTCTTTTGGATCTTAAGACTTTGCCTTCAATTTTATAATTTCACTTCTGAAGCTTGTAGTTAATGAATTTTTACAGGGCATTCATGCTTTGGATGATGCTACCTGCAATCAAATGATACCACAACCTTTGAAGGTGCTGTACATAGTTGGAAAAGACAATAATGTTCAAAAATTAGTATCAGCTGTCAAATTAAAGGGATATTCCATCTCCATCAGCTCTTCCTTGAATATTATGGAGTTCGAGAACAGGTAAATTCTGAATTAGTTTTTGGAGAATCGGTTTAAAAGCTATTCACATGTTGGAGACTCGGTTTAAAAGCTTAATGGTTGTTGGAGACTCAATTTAGAAGCTATTCACATGTTGGACTTTTAACCATTTGGGTTGTGTTGTCTATGTTTGTCCATGATACTTGGCTTTGCAACCAAGGTATTTGATGGATGTTACTGTTCTGTTTCAGGAATTGCCAGTTGTTGCCAGTGTTTGTATTTGTAACTGATATATTGTCTTTTTCTTCCCCAGTCTGCACTCTGGCATTAGAGGGAGACATACAGTCTCCATTATTGCTACTGAGCACATCAGTTCTACAGATTTGGGAGAGTATGGTGTTGTAATACTTCCAGATTTTGTTCTCTCAATTGATGATTATGTTCACATTCTTGCAAGGATGGCACGACAAACAGTCAATGGTGTATTGCACAGCTTTTTAACTGAAGATGATGCGCAGCATGCCGGTCCATTGATTGAAATCCTTGAACAATGTCGGCAGGCAGTGCCTGAAGCCCTAAGAAACTTGTGTCATGTGGTTCATCCATGTTAAAGAGTCCTTGAAAAGAAATAACTGTCTCATTTTTTCTAGACCCTCAAATTCTCTTTGCTGGAACTATTATTAGGTGAAATGTTGCAATCTCATATTTCACCTGCAGTTTTGCTAATACGGCAATGAGGTTAAGAATTTGTAAAATTAGGCTGAGTGGCCAAAAATTTAAAAAAGAAAAGAAAGAAGCTCATCTGGTTATTGATTGGTTTGGAGAGGGATGAAACGTTAAAAGTTTCTTGTTGAAGGAAAAAGTTTAAAGCAACAGAAAATGAGGGAAGCTTTCATGGTTGGTAGAAATTTTACCCTTTGTTTTCACTGCCAGTTGAAATACAACTTTACAAAGTAGTGTCAAATTGCAATAATTCAAAATAACTAAGAATATCTACCGCCTGGTCAAATATTTTATTAAATTTCTCTTTCAGTACTTTTGAAATTGAAAATTTCATCAATTTCCATCAATTATGGTAAGTGAAATTTATAATTTAGTTGCAAAATTTTTTTGTATGTTATATTTGTTTTATCATTTATTTTTTCTTTGGGGAAACATATTTACTTATTATTAATACTACTTGCTTACCTAGTATTTATTTTTACTTATTTCTTTTTCATCTTATATCTTTATATCATGCTTATTTTTTCTCTTTTTGGAGAACATATTGCATTATCTATTTATTAGTTAATTATTTTTTCTTGCTTACTATTATTTTTATCCAATATTTATTTATTTATTTCTAAATCATTGTATTTAAACTCATCATTTTATTTTAAAGTAAAATATCCATAATCTTAGGTTTTGACCATAATTCACTTCAAGTTTATTAGAGGAGACATTAGACTAAAAAAGCCGACTGCCCTGCTGAGCTGTTGACTTTTTATTTTTGAGGATTTATTTATTTGTTTATTTATTTATTTTTTAGGCAATTGTGTTGGAAGTTAAAAGGGGAAAAAATTTGGACCTAGAAATGGGTCGAAAGTTTGGGAGCTAGGGATTCGAGGGGATGGAAAATCAACTGCCATGCTGAGCAATAGCCGTCCAACTTTCTTGCTCTTTTTTTTGTTTTCTCTTTAAAGAGCTTCTTCTTTTCTTATTATTTTATATATCCAATGGACTTGAAATAATTTTTAATTATAAAAGGTCACATGGTCCAAATCCTAATTAGACTCAGACTTTAATTCATGTAAAGTTAGGTCCAAATAAAATCAGCCCAATTAAGGTTAAAAATATACTTAAATCAAAATAAAAATTTAAGATCAAATTAAACCATATAATTATTTTAGCATAACTTTAAATTACCTCCAACAAAATATAATGTCTACACAACTTTTGTTGTTAATTTATTTGTCAAGATATAATAATAATAATGCATTTTCTTTCGAAACAAGGACATTTTGCTTGGAAATGTTATAGGCATTCTTTGAGGTGTTATTTTTAAAATTATTTTTTAATGCACCATTTTCACTAAAATTAACATAGAATATTCTTTTAAGTATATACAAACTGTGTCTTATCAACCAAATTGTTATATATCTAACTACCATAACAGGTCCTCCCATAGCGTTTACCATGGTATTTAATCTATCATCTTAAAATTTAAAACATAATATTTGGTTAAAGAAAGAAAAAAGTATGCATAAACTAATAAAGAAATGAGGGTCCATTTCAAAAGGTTGCAACTGAATAAATTATAATATATAAATATGGATGAATTCTTAGAGTTGAGAAACCAGAGGCTGATCCCTTGAGAATATTGTATGGTTTGAGGCATAATCAAGAAGTAATTTGACCAATAATTTGTATATGTTCTGTGAGTGATATCGGTTGGCATGCTGTGGTAGGTTTATAGATTGAAAAAAAAATGGCACCTAAAAAAGATGTTTTATCAGCCATGATTAACTCAAACCCTAATTTAATTAATAGGAAGGGAAGATGTGTTGGATGTGATGCTTGGGAGGCTTCTGTCTCTCACTTGTTGTGATGATGCTTTTCTTTCCCAAATTCTTCTCTCAATTAATTAAATCTTTCCTGCCTTGAGCTGGACATTATAACTCATTCCCCCAGCTAACACTCCTATTAAACTTACTTCCCAAGGTTGACCAAATTCCTGTGCATTGGCTCTCATAAGTTGTTTTTTTTTTTAATTGAGAGAAAGAAAATTTGAATTCTACTTTTTAAATAAAACGATTATGCATCAATCAATAAATTGAATATTCAAATGCTCTTTTTCTCTCCCTCAAATTGCAGTGTTGATAAAAAGTTCAACCAGGTCCATAGACATATGAAATAAATCCATTTGCTAGTCACTTTTGTAAAACTTCTTTTTTTCATTAGCTGTTTAATAAAATTATATATATATATATATATATAAAAGAAAAGAAAAGAAAAGAAACCATGGAGCTCTTATAACTAGTCCATCTTCCATAATTTGATTTTTAATCCAAAAAGTTTATGCCTGTAATATAGAACTCTTATTTCTAACATAATTAAGTGTGTCGTCTTGAATGAATGTTCCATCGTCGGTGTCCTATGGGCTCTGTATATCAATGTTCTCTCATTGAGCATGCGTGCTTCCTTTAAATAAAAGATATATTGGCAAATTTGACTTCAAACTCCATTTGTTTCTTTTGGAGGACAGCACCTAAAGAAAAGAACATGGACTATATCCTCTCTTTCCTTACAGTTTCTTAATCTTTGCTTTTGCAACAGTACTGTGGTTGTGCTATCAATTTTGCTGAGGACTCTCTTTAATACCTATCAAATTATGAAATATGATTTTTTATTCTCTTTTTTAATTTGTGGGTTTGTATAATTTATATATATTTTAATGCATATAAAGACTCATTGAACCTAAACTACTTGGTTAATGATAGATAACCATTTTTTATTCTATTCTCTTACATTTTTTCATCTCAATTAAGATTCAAACTTGAGATTTTTAAATTTGAATATCGATTTTCAACTATATGCATTATAGTTGGGATGTTTTCTTCGTGAGTACTTACATTTTTAATTTTTTTTTCACCCTCTATCGCATAAAGTGTTCATATTTTATAAGCAAGTAATTACTAACTAAATTTTTTGATTTGGGCTCTTAAGTACTTTGACTTAAGATGATTTTATTATTAAAAGGTTATTCCTCGGAACACCAAGGCAATTGGTGCATGTGTAATTGCCTTACTAAAATAATTACTTTGACATTCTTATTCATTCCCCTTCTCCTATAGTTTATTTTTGGGAGGGGATGGGGGAGGGAAGTCACTCTCAATCGCAATCATGAATCACACCAATCACCAAAGACAGTCGCAAGGGCACTTGTGTTGAATGGGCAAGTTATGATTGGTCATCATGAGCACATCACATGTTCTTCTTGTGTAGCTCCAATGTAGTGCCATGGAGTGCCCAAAGAAGCAATCTTTCAGAGAAATATAAGCATTGCCCTTACGCTTTCACGAGGCTGACGGCTCACTTCATGCTTCAAACATTTGGAGGTGAAATTTCCCTTTCATTCACACCCTTAAAAACATATCCAAAGCCTCTACAAAGTACCAGCATGTTGACATCATAGGCCGGAAACCAACAGAAATGCTTTATTTTTGAAGGCTTTTTTATTCGAAATTAGAGATAAAAATATAATGCCTATTAAGTTTCAACTCAATTAAATCTCTGTCATTCGGAATTGTCTAAGTATTTTCTATCTAACTAGTAGAACTCGTTAACTAATTGAAATCTCACAGGTAGAAAATATCATTGGAGCAGTTTTAGAAATAGAAAAAATCCTACTTTCTTTACTAATATGAAGATATATACATATACAATTTGTACAGATTCTGTCATTGCTAAAATATCTGCTAAAATCCCTAAGAAAATGTTGAAAATAAATATGGAAAGAATTAAAGAGTTTGTCAAATCCTATTACTTGAAATATGAACAATATTGTTGCCGGAATGATAAACATATTCTGCTCTTTGATTTGAGGATATCCATATATTTTGTAATAGCTTCCCTCAAGTTGGTGTGGTTGACAGGTGCAGACACTATCGAGCTTCTCGTCGATATTGTGAGCATCCACCTTGTGCCTCCCTCAAGTTGGTGGATAGTGAACTTCTATACGGTTTAGGAATAAGTTGAATATTTCGGCACTAAGTCCCTTGGTTAACAAATCTACAAGTTGATTGTGTGAGGGAACAAAATTGAGAGTTATGAGTTTTTGTTGAATGTGTTCTCTGATAAAATTACAATCAAGCTCAATGTGTTTAGTTCATTCATGAAAGACTAGATTGGATGCTATGTGTATGGCTGACCTACTATCATACAATAGGGGAATACGTTATTTAATAGAAAAAAACAAGTCTTTCAAAACATCGCATAACAAACTAGTTTTGTAGTTGTCATTGTCATTGCTCGATATTAAGCTTCAGCTGATGATCTAGATACCGTTTGTTGTTTCTTTGATTTTCAGCTAATAGGAGTGTCTCCTAGACAAATAAGCATTCCTAAAACTAAACACCTAGTAGTCAAACAAGTAGCCTAATATGAGTCACAGCACGCCTTCAACTCAAGTGACTTCATATTACAATAAAAAAAGCCATGGTCAAGAGATTTGTTGATATATTGAACCAATCTTTTTGCCATAGCAAGACAAGGAGCTCTTGGTGCTTGCATGAATTGGCTTAAGACTTGTATAGCATAAGAGATGTCCGATCGAGTCACTATTAAATAGATTAGTCTCCTTACAAGTCTTTGATATATAGTCACATCCTCAAGTAAGTCCCATATCTCACTAGATAGATTGTGTTGTTGTGGAATTGATGTTTGCACAACTTTTGAATCTTCGAGACCTATTTCTTTGATAATATATCCTCCATATTTGTGCTAATTCACATAGATTCTATCTTGATTCATTCTAACTTTTAACCCAAAAAATAATGCAAAGATTTTAGGTCTTTTATTTTGAAACAAGTCTTAAAATATTTCTTAAATTATATGCATTTATCTCCATTATTCTCAACAAGTATAAGATCATCCGTGTAGATTAATACTACCAAGAAACTATTTCCATCTGAAAACGTGAATACTGAGTGATTCCATGGACTTTGTTTAAACCCATAATTGAGAAGAGAAGAGGAGAGTTTTTCAAACCATTATCATTGTGCTTGTTTGAGTCCATACAAGGACTTATGCAGTTTATAAACTAGTGAATCATTAAGAACTTCCATACCTTGAGAAGGTTTCATGAATACTTTTTCATTGAATTCCCCATGTAAAAAGGCATTGTCAATGTCCATTTGATGTAGTTCCCATCCTTTAATTACTGAAATAGCCAACAAGCATCACACTATAGTGAATTTAGCCACTAGAGCAAATTTTTCATTAGAGTCAAGTTTCTCCATTTGATTGTAACCCTTTGCAACTAATTGAGCTTTGCTCCTCTCAATTGTTCCATCAGCTCTTCATTTAATTTTGAATACCTATTTTCTCCCAATTGCCCATTTTTCTTATGGTAAGAGAACTAGGTTCCATGTATTGTTCAAAAGAAGAGCTTTTAGCTCTTTATTGGTTGTTTCTTCCACATCTAATTTTTTTACAACATTCTCATAAGTGTCTAGCTCAATATTGACTTTTTCCAATCTTGCATTGTTAGTAGAAGATACTACGAGATTTTTAGAAAGGAATGAATGGTTCATCTGAATTACTAAGATGATAGTGGAGTGGTTTCTACTTGATGGTTTTGGTCGAGGATTTGACTTGGTTTCTATTAGTTTTTCTACCATAGAAAAAAACCACAAAAGAGAATAATTTAGCTTTGATACCATGTAAAAAATACTAATGGAGATGTTTTAGAATTAGAAAAAACCCTACTTTTATGAACAAGATGAAGACATGTGTATACAATTTGTACAGATTCTGTCACTTTTAAATATATGCTAAAATTCTTAAGAAAATACTGAAAATAAATACGGAAAGAATTAAAGAGTTTGCCAAATACTTTTACCTAAAATATGGAGAATATTGTTGCTGAAATAATGAACATCTTCTGCTCCTTAATTTGAGGATACTTGTATATTTTGTGATGTCTCACATGACACTTTATGGTTTTTTTTTTTCAATTAAAATTCTATGATTTTTTTCTCAACTAAAATCATGTGAGTAACTTCTGTTCCCATAGGACTTCATCTGTTAATTAGTTTTATTCCATAAAATTATAAGAATATTTTAAAATATGAATAAATAGACAAACTTGGAATTAAAAGTATTTTGATAATATTATTAGACAAAATCAATAGTTTAATTTCTGTGGGAGTATAAGTTATCCATAAGGTGCTGATTAGGAAAAATAATATTTACGAAATGTTAATTGAAAAAAAAATCAGGAAATGCCATGTGATATAAATTAACATCATATGAGATGTATGTGAAATTTACCTTATATTATTGACTAGAGGTATTCAGGATTTTATAAACTTAAAAGTTAACCTCATGGTCTTGGTTCCTTCAAGAAAAAAAATAAAACGAAAAGAAATATCTCATGCACGAAAGTCTCTACGCTGCAGCCAAACAAAGAACATACCATAATACTAATTCCACCCATCATTGTCCTCTCACCTTCTCTTAACAAAATAAATAAATATAAAAAGGAAATTAAAGAGGAAAAAATTTGTTAATTTCCCAACTTTCCCTTACTTTCAAAGTTTACTAGGTTAAATGCAGGTGATTCATGAATGATTTAACAATTATTTAAAGAGTAATTAAAGATGTAGAAATGAGTAAATTAGTAAAGCGTCTTCAACTGAATCCTGCCAAAAAGCAGTCAACCCACTTGACCCAGAAAATCACTTAGCACCCAAAAGTTGAACCCGCCCCTATCATTTCCTCCTTTAAACCTTACAGCTCCATATCTAATTAGCTAAAATTTTCCTAATTAAAAACTTTTGTTCATATTCAAAGTTGCTGCTCAATGAAACAACAAATGATTTCAAACATATTGAGCTCCTAATTCATAAAGACAATGTGCTTCACAATAAATGCTTTTTTATTTTTGCTGTATTTAATATAACGAAAAAGAAATCTAATTATTCCTTTATTGTAAATAAAACTTTTTTATTAATTTATATTAAGCTTCCTAGCTTCTTCTTTCGTGACCCAAGGTGATTGAAAGCGATGTCTAAACTCGTTTTGGGTTAGTTACAGATTTATAAATTAAACTAAATTTTAAAGGGACACATTAAATTAAAATGTGGAGTTGTAAATCAAAAGCTGCAGGAATTCGACTTTCATTGCCGGTTTAAGATCCGCAGTCCCTTTCCTTTTGACCAACTGTTCTTTGTAATTAAATTTGGTTATATATTTATATATATAACAACACAGGCTGCATTCTAGCATCAGCTCTTAAGCCTCTCTTCTATAAACAATTCGCTAGGCAAAGAGGAGAGAATAGAGAGTCGACACCCCCCAAACCCAAGCTTTGTTTGTCTCTAACTCTCTTTACAATTAGAATTTCATGCTTGTTTTGTAGTATGTTTTTGCCCTCTTTTTCTTGTTTGTATAGCAAGGTTTGAAACTTGGTTCACCTTCAGTTTTGTGATCATTCTGGAAGTGGGTCTGCTGCTGCAATGGAGAGCTTTAGATCTACTTACTGACAGAAGTCCAGCTTGCTCTCTCTCCTACATTGCCTATACGTAACTCACAAGCAATAATCACAGCTCTTGAAACCAAATATAGATTCGTGTTCTTTTCGCAAAGCCAACCTACTTCTTTATAACCAAAGCACGTATAGTAACACCATAACGTGTAGTACTTTCTCAGGCAGGCTCCTATTTGTCCATACCAAAGAGCTCTGATGGACCAGATATCGGAGACCTCCAGGACCATAATTCCAGGCACATTTCAGGTCAGTCAGGATGATATTACAGGCCAAATTGGGTTGATTTGGCAGCAAACAAAAGCGCCATTGATCGTGCCTGTCTTGAAAGTTATGGTGGTTTTGTGTCTGGCAATGTCCATAATGCTTTTTGTTGAAAGGGTGTATATGGGAATTGTTATAGTCTTTGTGAAGTTGTTTGGGAGAAAACCTGAGAAGATGTACAAATTGGAGCCGATGAAGGATGATGTTGAGCTTGGTTATTCTGCTTATCCCATGGTTCTAGTACAAATCCCAATGTACAATGAAAAAGAGGTGAATACTTTGCTTTGTTAATTCTTATATTATTCACCTATTCACCTTGGTCAGTTTAAGTGTCTATTTGTATATATAAAACGTTAAATTTGCTTATGTTTACTGTTTTATTGTATACAGGTTTATCAGCTATCAATTGGAGCTGCATGTGGGCTTTCATGGCCAGCTGATCGGATCATAATTCAAGTGCTCGATGATTCAACAGATCCTGCCATTAAGGTTCTGTCAATAACCCATCTCATGGAATTTTAAAGTAACTATATATACCTCAAGTTACAGATTTGGAAAATGTCACTGTTTCATTGTGAAAAATTGTAGCCACCCAAAACCGATATTACCAACACTTAACACGATTTTTGATGTGGGTTTCTGAAATGCCACAGGCCTTGGTGGAACTAGAATGCCAAAGATGGGCAAGCAAGGGCATAAACATAAAGTACGAAATACGGGACAACAGGAATGGATACAAAGCAGGTGCTCTCAAAGAAGGCATGAAGCATAGCTACGTCAAACAATGTGACTACGTGGCTATTTTTGACGCTGATTTCCAACCTGAGCCAGACTTCCTCTGGCGCACCATCCCGTTTCTTGTCAGCAACCCTGAAATTGCACTTGTTCAAGCACGTTGGAAATTTGGTAACCTTTATTAACCCCTAATTTTTACACTTGATTAAGCTACTTTTGCTTTGATTATTGCTTGACAATTCTTTTTTGTGTCGGTGGTCCTTCCTGTCTTGCTCTTTTGTTTGTTTCTTGGCCACGAGATGTATGGTCTACTGCCCTTCTTATTTTCCTTTTAAATTAAGGTTTAATGATATCATTGGACGGGAGCAGAATGTTGCCAGGTGTGGAGAGGTTGGTGGGGCAACCTAGTGTCATGTATGGCAACCGAAGAGAGTTAAAAAATGAAAATGTCAAAACTGGCAATTAAATATTTCTGCATGATCAATATTCAATTAGGATATAAACTTTTAATTTTTTTTTAATAATTAGAGAAAGAAGATTTGAATTTTTTTTTAAATAAAAAAATCATGTGTTAATTAATAAACCAAATATTCAAATGTAAATGTAAACTCTTGATTGTTTCCAATGGCCAACCCTAAAAGAGAGTAATGCTTTCTTTGATTTGTCATTGGAAGAGAAGGCTCTTAACAATACCACCCGCCTTTGGATAAAATTAAATAGACATAGGCATAATTGAAATGACATGACGCTGACACATTAAACATGGATTACTTTGCTAGATTCTAGACTGGTCTTTCATTTTCAGATGATTTGAATGTCAATTCATTTTTATTAGAATAATTTTAATTCAAATTATTCATAGTGGATCTTTGTTGTCGTGAACTTTAGATGAAGAAATCAACTGTGAAAATGAGAAATTCATTTTGATTTTTTATCAGTGATTAGTCCGTAGAAAAAGCTTTTTGGTTTTTGAAGGAAGCCATGGAAAAGTGATTCTTCTTTATAACAAAATGGAGTAACAAGTAAATATAAATCAACGAATTGATGGTTGTGTGATAATTTGGATGGTATAATGATCATTGTGACTTTGGGTTTCTGTTTCAGTCAACTCAGACGAATGCTTAATGACAAGGATGCAAGAGATGTCATTGGATTACCATTTCATAGTGGAGCAAGAAGTAGGGTCTTCAACCCATGCTTTCTTTGGTTTCAATGGTAATCAATCTTCACAAAGGCATTAAAGCTTTAAGTCCTTTAATAAAGCAAATTTCTATGCATATCAGTCATGATTATATTCTGCAGGGACGGCAGGTGTCTGGAGAATTTCGGCACTCAGTGAAGCCGGAGGATGGAAAGACAGAACAACAGTGGAGGACATGGATTTGGCTGTCCGAGCTAGTCTTAAAGGCTGGAAATTCGTTTATGTCGGCGACCTCAAGGTATTGTTATCATCTTACTATGATTATAGTACTGTTGGAAAAAATTTTAATAATAACTGGAAAATGTAAAAGCTATCAGGGAAAAAGAGAGCAAGATGTTTCAATCTTGTGAAAGCTGTTCAACTTAGTATCTAAAAGTGGGGCTTGTCTTAAACATCTTTTTCTTTTAAAAGATTGTTATTGGAAGTTGAAGTCGACGTGGTCCCGGACTCTTTCTTCGATAAAGTCGTAAGCTTCGGATCTTATGTTTTTTTCATGAAACGGTGACTGAGAGATAATTTCGGTAAGGCGCGCATCAGGTTCACTTAATAATAAGTTAAAAAGCTTATTCTGTAAATTTTATTTCAGTTCCATGATTGTAAAGTAGAAAAGTTCTAAGTCTAGTGCACTTTGGTAATGGCGAATGCTCATTGCCCCATTCAAATTTTGTCTTACTATGTTCTCGTACTCTCCTTCATTGAGTTGAGGAGGCAGTCCGTGAACTAATTGCCTTTCGAGGCCCCGAATACGCGATATGAGTTCCCCTCCCACGTGCGCGTTTTGCGCGTGAAAGTTTTCCAAGACTCGTGCCGCGGATAAGGGTTCCGCTTCTTGGAAAACTTCAGTCCAGCTTGAGGAATTATCAGAAAAAAAATATACAATATCTTAGCAAATGTTTTATCTGTTTGGAAAAGTTTTATTACGGTTTGTTTTAAGTAAAAATAATCTCATCATCTCCAGAAGCATGCGAGATTCAAGTAGATGCCTGATATTAAAATTGTTTTTCAGATTTCTTGTTTACCAAATAGATTCTATTTGACCTTCTTATTATTGGCTTATCTTAGGTGAAAAATGAATTGCCAAGTACTTTCAAGGCCTACCGATACCAACAGCACAGATGGTCTTGTGGCCCCGCTAACCTCTTCAGGAAAATGGCAATGGAGATCATAAGAAATAGGGTAAGATACCAACTGATTAATGGGTGCAGAATTTTAAACCAATCAGTTGTTTTGCCCATATATAGTAACCTAACACTCACTAACCTGCTGTTTATCGCAGAAAGTTTCTCCCTGGAAGAAGTTTTATGTGATCTACAGTTTCTTCTTTGTCAGGAAGATTGTGGCTCACCTTGTCACATTTATTTTCTACTGTGTTGTTTTACCGGCAACTGTTTTTGTCCCTGAAGTCGAGGTTCCTAAGTGGGGAGCTGTCTACATTCCTTCTATCGTCACTCTTCTCAATGCTGTTGGAACTCCAAGGTTATTTTCTATTCTGAACTTGCTTTCCTTGCGTTTCCATCAGCCTACAGCAATGAAAAATGCTGTCAAGGTTTCATCTTGGTCAATCACTTAACTTTTAACCTCTCTGATCATGTAATGTTGCAGGTCATTGCATCTACTGATCTTCTGGATTCTTTTTGAGAATGTCATGTCTCTACATCGGACTAAGGCAACATTTGTTGGTCTGCTGGAGGCAGGGAGAGTGAATGAATGGGTTGTTACAGAGAAATTGGGAGATGCTCTTAAGACAAAATTAGGTGGAAAAGCTCCCAGGAAACCCCGCATCCGAATTGGCGAAAGGTAATAACCTCCTCTGAATCACTTCACAGTTACTATCTTCACTGAATTTAGCATCAACTAATCCTTAGCACAATACCAGCTTAACACATTTCCTAAATATATTTCCTGCTTGATGGTTGCATATAAACAGAATCCATTTGCTAGAGCTTGCTGTTGGGGCATACCTCTTCTTCTGTGGCTGCTATGATCTGGCTTTTGGAAAGAATCGCTACTTCATATTCCTATTCCTGCAATCTATCGCCTTCTTCATAGCCGGCGTTGGTTATGTTGGAACCTTTGTTCCAACCTCTTAGCAAAATCAATCAAACAAAGAATCATCTCCAAAGTCTTATCATTCACTTTCTGTCTTCTCCATATATATGACACTTCAATTTCTTTGATTGTTATTAAAATTTTCTTTTCATTCAAATTGTTACAGTTTTTACATTATTACAGAAAGGGTGATCATTCTTTTATGCTGAGCATAAGTGGATTTGAGCAATCAAGTTGAATTGTAATTTTCTCTTGTAAAATGAAAGAAATTATGGGAAAATATCTTAATATCAAGTAGCTGGATCCAATCTACATAATTACTTTTCCTTCAATGTATACTCAGAGATCAGTTTTTTCATCCTGAGGAATATAATTTGCTGCTAGCATATTCAGATTTTGTAATGAAAGGGCTTAAAACCAAATAAGCCCCTGAGCTATCAACAATTAAACAACTGAATCCTTCTTCTATTGTGTCAAATTGGAGCCCATCTACTTTAGCCACATCAAATAGAAACCATTTTTGCTACTCTTTTGTAGGTTAATAGGAAAACATTTAAACAACCCCATCTTAATTCTTCTGAACACGTACAATATTGAAGGATCAGAAGATTTGAATCCCAAGTTTTTGAGAGGGGCACTTACATACCATTAAGTCATATATTCAAATTATTAAAAATCTTCAAAATATTCTTCAGGCGCCACATATGTGAGAAAAACTAAATAATTTATACATATATATATATGATATGTGTGTGTGTGTGTGTGTGTGTGTAAACATAAAAATCAAAATAATCAACTTATAATCTCCTTTTTTCTTTCGCTAGAAAATGGACTGGGGCATAAACTTGCTGTGTATTCTATTACTCTCATTCTATTGCTATTAATCTGTCTACCTTGGAGCTTCCCTCTTGTTATCGGATTGAGCTTTTGTTTTGAAATCCAAAGATCTTAGAACTTATCTGCCCGTGGTTAACTCTTGCTATGTGTACCTCTATCAATCAGTAGTTACTAGTTGCCTTGCTTTTTTTTTTTTTTTTTTTTTTTTGAAGGGTAAGAACATTTCATTGAAAGAGCTGGCAAGGGGTTGCTAGAATAAATGCAGAGAGGGTAGAGTATTATCGTTTGGCTGCTGATCCCCTGTTACAAAGAGACCTAATGAATCTTAACTAACTATCACCGGAAAAGTAGAAAATGAGAGCAAGTGAGAGGAATAGAGAGAGAACTCGGGTTGAAGATTGGTGGGAGGATTGTAGAAGGGTAGGAATAGGATAGGGATTTAGGGAGCAATTCCCAAAAGTGAACAAGAATGAAGGGATACCAAATCCAGATCTGGATCGATGGAGGAAAAACGTTTTCTCAGCTTTTGTTGATAATATCTACCAAGGGTTGAATGGAGGGAATTGAAAGGTTTCTTTGACCAATTTGGGATTGTTGTGGATCTGTTCATTCCAAGAACAACCAGGAACAGAGCAACGAAGTTCGCTTGTGTAGTACCGACACAAATAAGAGTTAACCATGCTATTAGCTTGGTCAAAACATGAGACTTGCTGGTAGGTTCCTAGTGGTCAAGGAGGCTGATAAATCGAGGTCACCAAAAGGTGGAGGTGGCAATGGGTCTTTGTTTGTGGATTCACGGGAGGGGGGTGGAGGTGGAAAGGGGACATACAAGGAAGTTGTGAATAATGGGCTCTTGAGAACTGTCCAGGAAAAGACAGTGGAAGTGAGAGGAGGAAAATACAACTGGGTGGTGAACAGAATGTTAATGATGTGAAGGGGATAAAGGTGGGTTTTGAGGAGGAAGATATTGCATGGCTTAGATGGAGTGCATCTGCTGTTTTAAGGGAACCAATCTGTTGCAAGGCTATTCAAAGCTTTTTGTTCAGAGAAGGGGTAAATGCCTGGGTTAGAGCAGCCAGGGGGTTAAATGTTATTGTAACTTTCAACTCAAAAGATGATATGGAGGTTTTGCTTAATCAATATATGGAGATCTTCAAAACTTAATTTAAAGAGATACATCCATATAGTCTGGAAAGGGAAACCAGGAGGTATACGGTATGGGTAAAGCTGGAAGAACTACCAATTCACCTTTGGAACATGAAAATTTTCAAGGCACTGGGTTATAGCTGGGGGAGATTCCTGAGGGTGGATCAGGCCATTGAAATGCAGTCAAGATTTGACTTTGCTTTGGTCAAAACTGAGGTCACAAGTAGGAGAAAGGTTGTTGCTTGTCTTGTGATTATTGTCAACAAAGGTAAGATAATTTCTAAGGCAATGATTGTTGGAGTTGAAGCTACAGATCTTGACCGAAAAATTTTCCATGAAATGAAAAACAGAAAATGAAAATTCTAGAGACCTCCAGTCAAGGGAGTCAACGACAGTTAAAGGGCTTTGAAGATGATGATCCAATAGCCGTTGAAGGAAAGGACGTGGCATCTTCCAATCATCAAACGGTGGGGATGAAGTCTGACAAAAGGTTGCCTGAAAAGCTAGTGAAAAAGCATATGGAAATAGAATTGGGAGATAAAAGAGTTGAAATTCGAGAAAAAGGGGTGGGTTTAAGGAAAGCGTATGGGGAAGAGGGAAGAAGGAAGGGGCGGGAATTTGAATAAAAAGAAAGGAGTAGAAGTGGGAAAGGAAAAAGGTGGGTGCCAAGATGAAGACTGTAGAGAGAATCCAAACAAGGAATATGGTGATTGGGCTAGGCTCAATAAAGTAGAAGATACATTAGTGAGCTTGGGGAGGAAAACATAGAGGCAAAAGAAAAAGGGTTGGGCCATGAAATTAGGAATCGTGAAGAGACCTAGGAGGTTGTTACATAAAATGAGCTAGATAGAGATGATGGATTTTGTGCAATGGGCTCGGAGGAAAACAAATGTAGAAGTAGACATGGGTTTGGCAATGGATTTGGAAACTGGTCAAATAAGGTGGATAAGCAAAGCCACAATAAAAAAGAAGCAAGAGGAAAAGTCAGAAAAGAAAGTCGATTGTTATTACAAACAAATGGGGGTGAGGGAGAAGCATTTCAGGTAGAAGAAGAGGGAGAATGGAGTAGGAAGGAAATAATGCTAAAAGGGGGAAATTCGTTGAAAGGTAGTCTTAGGGATCTCGAAATATCAATTTCTGGAGATATGGTTTTGAAGGACTTCGTTGGTAGCGAAAAGAGGAAAAAGAAAAATGGAAAAACAAAGATCCAAATTAAGAAAACATTTTCGAAAAGGGGAATTGAGGACCTAAAAGAACAGAGAGTGGGAGGTAGCGAAAGTTCGAGCTTCAAGGGGGCTTCAGCAAGAAAAGGTAAATCAATTGATAAGTAGAATCAGAAAAAGAAAATAAAGAAGGTTAAGAAAGGGAAAAAAGGTGCTGGCACTACTAGGACCAAATACTTTAGTATCAAGGGAATGGAGTTAGAGACCGAGAAGAGCACTGAAATTTTGAATGAGGAGGCCATAGCCACTTTTGATACAAGTAGCAGACTTGGACTGGATTTTTTGGAGACAAAGGCAGAAGTTATTAGAGCTTTCACCAAACAAGATAAGGAGGATGGCAATTAGGAAAAAAGAAGGGCAGATGAGGGCGCTGGACATTACGTTGAGTTTTTATGTTTTTTATGATTATTGTAACGTGGAATATAAGGGGGATTGGTAGGGGGAGAAAAAGAGAGCTTTAAGGAGACTCATTTGAAAAAACCATCCGAACATGGTTTTTATTCAAGAAACGAAACAAAAAAAAGTGTTTGATGGGATGTTTGAAAGATTATGGCCAAAAGAACGAGTATGTGGTAAAGCAGTGGAATCTGAAGGTAGATCAGGAGGTTTAATGTGCTTATGGCAAGAGGATTTTTTTAACATGGAAGAAAGAATTGGTCATAAAAATTTTATTATGTTGATAGGAAGATTAAGGAAAGGCAATATTAGGTGTGGGTTTGTGAACGGTTATGCCCCCAATAATGAAGAGGAAAGAAATGTAGTTTGGGAAGAGATAAAATAGATTATTGGAAGGTCGGGGGTGATGTGGGTGCTAGGCAGGGATTTTAATGTTGTACGAAATGAGGAAGAAAGGATAGGGAATGGGGACATAAGAAAAGCAGCGGGAATATTTGATGAATTCATCAATGAGACAGGGCTAGTTGATCTTCCTTTGGTAGGTGGCAGATTCACATGGAGTAGTAATAGAGAAGAGCCATCATTTAGCCACCTTGACAGATTTCATATTGATGCTAATGCGCTGGAGCTCGAGAGTTAGTTAATGCAAAAATGCCTTCCTATTGCGCTATCTAATCATACTCCCATTATCCTCGGGCTTGGGAGGGTTGATTGAGGGCCAAGACCATTTAAATTTTTTATTATTGGATAGAGGAAGTAAGCTTTCAGCAAGTGGTTAAAGAGTTTTGGGGACAAAAAGGGAATGATAAGTGGTTGGAAATGGGATATGGCAAAAACTAAAAAGCTTGAAAATTGTGCTTAAAGGTTGACAGAAAAAAGTTTTAAGAAACAACCAAGAAATGATTAACAGATTAGAAAAAGAGATCCAAAATCTTAATGAGAAGCTGCAAATAAGGATGGGGAGTCTTGAAATTCGAATGCAAGTAGTTCAAAAAAGAGTAGAGTTGTGGGAGGCGTATAGGGTAGAAGAGAGAGAATGGCAGGAGAAATCTCGAACAAGATGGATAGTTGATGGGGATCGAAATACAAAGTTTTTCATGCAATGGCATCAGCTAGGAGGAGAAACAACTTGATTCAGCTAGTAGAAGTGGGGGATAATGTGGTTACTGAATCGGAAGGTATTAAGGTAGTAATTGTTGACCACTTCTCAAGTTTTTTCAAGGAGAGGAAACTTTTGAACTTGAGGGGTTTCAACTGCTCCTTTAGGACTTTGAGTGATAGTGCAGTTGCTCTATTAGAAAAAAAAATTACAAAAGAGGAGGTTTGGGAAACGATCTATAGTTGTGATGGGAATAAGGCCCTTAGACTAGATGGGTACAACATAGATTTCTTCAAATATCAGTGGGAGGTGGTGAAGAATGATGTTATGTTGAGTATGAGAAGGTTTTTTGAGGAGCGAAGGCTGGAGCAGGGAGTGAACAATTCCTTCATTACGCTCATTCCCAAGGTTGATAATCCAATGAACATTTCTGAGTACAGACCTATAAGCTTGGTAGGGAGTCTTTATAAGTTTATCTCAAAACTACTAGTGAATAGACTTAAGGAGGTTATAGGAGAGGTAATTGGGGTAACACAGTTCGCTTTGTGAAGGGAAGGCAGCTCACGGATTGTGTTCTAATCGCAAATGAAGTGATGGATTTATTAAGAAAAGGAAATGAATGGGGCTTCGT